TTTCTTTGGGCTCTAGCGGCGTCTAGGGATTTGGGAGAGATCGATCCTCCTCTCGAATTGAGGATCAATTGTATCTTTGCTATTTTCTTTGCAACTACTAGTAAAATACAAGTCTTTTCTCTGATTTTTCTGCAGTTTTTCCCTGCTTTCCTACTGTTTTTGGCTGTTTTTCTGCTGTGGACAGCAATTTTACATTGGATCTACTTGGTTTTGGTGAGAAACACTTGGAAATCCAAGTGCTTCCTATCAGATTCATTCTCAAATAATCTCTCGATAGCAGAGACGTGACATGTACTCTTTAATCGGGTACTTTTGTTGCAAAATGACATCACTATATTACGATCACGGCTAGAGTCCGTATGTTCCCTAATGACTTCAAATCCTTGAGTAATGAATCATATGATGTACTTGATAGGCACAAAGCCCCTTTATCAGCTAAAATGGACCTAAATCTATGTTTTAGACAAACATCCACCCCAAGTCTAAAAGGTATTTTTGGACAAAGCAACTCATGGCTGCTGACAAGGATCCTTCTGTCTGGTTAGGTTGACTACCTTGTCTAACCAAGTAAACCAGAGACCATGATAACGAGAGATAATAGAACCATGTTGATGAATTTCAAATCTTAAAAATCCCCAAATATTCAATTTTAAAATTCCTAAAGTTGCTACTACTATATGTTGGGTACTCAATGCCTATCTCACGACTAGCCTTAATCAAAATTTCTCTCGTTATTGGAAGGGTAATTAACTATAGGGGATTGCACCTATAAGAAAGTAGAACTCCAATCATAAAGTCCTCGCAAAATGAGGGCGAAATCTCTGGGTAGTATCTTATCTAAAATCCAATGTGCCTCCTGAAAATCTAACTTGGAACCTAAATCCTTTAAAACTCTCCCCATCAACAAAACCAGGCGAGGGGAGGCCGGGGGTGTGAATTTTCGGAGCCCACACTTCTAAGACAATGGTGGTAATTTTGACAACATCTTATATGGTTTGTTTCTTATATGGTTTGTTCAAAAAAAGTTTGAATCAACTTTAGATCCTACGTTGTTTTCATTGTCTTGCTTGGTTGTTAGCCCAATAGTTTTGATTCGGTCTGCACCAGCTCAAAAGATATTGAACCAGATTCAAGAGAGATTTTTTGCTCCTAATAGTCATCATATTTTTGGCGATATTGGTGTTTCAGTTTAGCAGTATGTTGACTCTGAGGTTTGCATTTCTAGCACAAAGGATCTAGTGTACAAAAAAATTCAAATTCTCTATATCAAGAGGGGCATAAATAGTAGGAAAATAAATATATCTTCACTCTAAAAAATGCGCTAGACTTCAACTTAGATATTCTTAATGAGGACTCAGGGTTCTCTTCTATCTGACTAGTTGGTTTTGTTGGTGACTTGGTGTATTTTGTTTTTACATTTTTCCTCTTGCATTTCCTGCATTTGGTTCGTGTTGTACTATTTATATGAACTGATAATAAAATTTTGCCTTAAAAAACCTTATTTGCATATTTATACTCAGTTTGTGTTTCCGTCTTGCTATCTTGCAGTTGCAGCAGGTGATGGACATATTAATCATATGTGTTGCAAAGGAAGATGTAAATTATTCTTCCTTTAATTATCAAGTACATGAATCATCCCAGTCGGTAGTATATCCAGGAAGAACAACTTGGAGTGAATTTATCCCAGCAAATATTAGAATTGTTCCATTTCCAACGCGAGAGTACACTGATGATGAGTTTGAATCCCTTGTGAAGGCTGTAATGGGAGTACTGTAAGTATAACTCGGCCCACTTCTCAGTGATCCTTTGGAGTGCTGTTGCTACTTTTTGGTACCAGCAGTTTGATTTATGATCCTTATTTGCTTGCAATTTATTTTTGTTTTAATTGGTTAAAGGTCTTTGTTTCTGTTTAACCTTGAGTTTATGCACCGAGCAGAAAATATTTTGACTTCTCTTTTGAATGGAGCAGGTACCTTTTGGGCTTTCTTTTCCCAATTTCACGATTAATTAGTTATTTTGTTTTTGAAAAGGTATGCTAACATGGTTATTTTTGGTGATTTCTCTGACTGCCTTTTTTTCTGTTCTTGTTGATGAAATTATATTTTTTGTTTGTAATTGTTTCAGGAACAAAAGATAAAAGAGGGCCTCCAGATGATGGGTCTTCCAAACAAGATATTCTACCTATCGTGGTTCATTACATATACTTTGCAGGTAACTACTACACCTGGTGTCTGTTAGATGCTTTTGCCGTTGACTGAAAATTCAAAATATTCATTGACTGGATATATGGTTTGATCTCTTTCCCCTCAACGAATCAAATGGGCCTTGTATGCCTCTTGCTTCTTAGCTGGTGTTTAAGCTTGTGAAGCTTTTAGCTGCTATATTCCCTTTATAGCACTTCAGATCTTGACAAAACAACTCAATTTTTGCTCTCCAAAAACTTCCCTTTAACTATTTTGTTTGCTATTCTGCTTTCTGCTTTCGATGGGATCTCTTAACATTTTTTTTAAAACCCAATAGACGTAGTGTTTTTTTTCCAGCTTGACTATTGCTTGCCCGAGGTTGAATAACTCTGCTAATTGGGAATCTGTTGATCTATGCTTTTTATCAACTTCTTGAAGCGTTTCATGGCATGTTATACCCTTGTTTGGCCTCTTGGTGCAAAGGTGTCCGCTATGAGCCTGTTCTTGTTTAAACCTTGCCATTACCTTGAATGTTGTGTCATTGTAGGTTGCTTCTACAAAGGGAAGCCTTGTTGATTTATCATTGAAATGACTCTTGATTAATATCTTCTATTGATCTGTAATGTTGTTACTAGAAGCTTAAATAATCACTATGCGATGGGATTCAAACATTTTGATTCTTTCTTTGAATCTTGCCATTATCTTAAGATATACCCTTTCTTGTGTTAAGACTCCACATTCTGGTTATTCAAGACACATGAGCTATTTCCACCACAATTTCCTCCATGGACATTGAAATTCCAAGCGTATGCTTTTGCATTTTTATTTAGTGGAAGAGTTCCATCGATGCTTAGGAAGTTTTATCCTATACATGACATGGTTTAACACTAATATTTGGATTGTTCTAGCATTTTTATTTGCTTTATGTATCTAGTTGCCATGAAACACAATAGTTAGAATTAGCCTTTGTCACATCCCATTTAGACCCCTTAGAGTCTTCCTAGAGCGCAATAGAGAAGGAAGAATCATAATAATTTTATTTCTTACTAAAACCCATTCTGAATTACTACAACTATTTAGATAGTTACTATAACTATTTAGTTTTAACAATTTATCCATAATATTTATACGTGGAAGCATATTCAATATGTCACATAAAAGTTACAGAGCTTTACTAAACTTTTCAAATAAAACTTACATATCAAAAGCCTTACTGAATTGACTTATGCACAACTAACATTTATGTACATGTAATGTAATCACTCTCCCACTTAAAGACTTGCTGGCTCCTCTTTTTCTGCATTACAACTACTGCTAGTGAGCTACAAGCTCAAAGAAATACACAATTGTAATAAAAGAAAAATAATAAACATTACATTTAATTGTAAAATTTATGGAATTTTTATAAATATCATAAGATGTACAAGAGATCAATGCATATTTAACATTTTACATTTTTTTTATCTTTATTTTCAATACTTTAGGTAAATCATATGATGATTATAGATTTTTGCACGCCTATAGCTTGCTTTTTCAAGACTAGTTCAAAATTCCCAACTTTTAGAAGTGAGAGCTCTCTCCTTCAAGGCTGAGTCCGAATTTCCAACTTTTAGAAGTGAGCATGTCAAGTACCTCTCGTAAGGTCATTCAGGCTTACCTTTTTAGGCCTTTCGCCTTTACTTGTGCGGACATATCCTCCATAATATGATTTTGCTCCATCCTTTTCATTACATTTCACATTTTGAACATATAACTATGTATACATTAATTCAGCTAAATAAGTACTTGACTGATGCGGACATCCGACGATGGACGGTATTCACAGGAAGAGTCGAAGATCAACGGCCGAGATCACTCCGTTTTATTTTAGTTTATTAATTGTATTTTGATTTAATTTTCCAATTTTCTCTTTTTACCATTTTATTTAAGAGTTATGTCTTATGTAAGCCCAAGGACAAATGTGTCTTTTAGTTTCTTTTGAGGCTTATATATAGAGGCCCATTCTCCTGTATTAGGCATGATGGAATTATAATAAAAATTTGTGTTATGCATTTGTGCTCTTTTGGGAGGACGATAGTGAGATTCATATGAGAAGGAATCAAAGTTTTCACCAACTGCAAGATGGGTCCGGGCTCGTGGCTTGAAGTCTCTTGGAGAAGGGCAACGGATCACCCATCAGTCTTCGGAAGAGTTCAAGTCTCACGGTTTTATCTTTTATCTTGTGTTTCTTTGTTTTTTGTTTCTTCTTGTTGTTCATAGTCGCCATCTTCATCCTCTCCATACTTTCACCAAACCGGCCTTATCTCCATCACCACTCACGGCCAAGCCACAAGCCGCCGACCCTCCCCTTGGTTCCCCTCCCAACCCCCTTGCCATTAAGCCTTTCCTAAATTAGTTTTCATATTTTAGGTAACTATCTTAATGATCAAATTCAAATCTATTTGAATTTGAATAGTTGCCTAATTTATAAATCATATTTTAGGAAACTTACTAATTCATAGCCTATTTAAATTTTGAGTTAAATTGGGATGAAATCTTTCATTCCAAATTTAATTTATTAATTTAGGAAAGCTTTGAATGCCTCATTAAACTCCCCCCTTTATTCCCTTCCTTTTCTTGCAAAATTAATTTGGGAAATATTTCCTTTCAATTCCCCCAATCCAAATTTGAAATTTGAATTATTTCCTTAAGTAGGATTCTATTTTAGGAAAATCCTCACTTTTGCAAGCAATTGCTGCAATCAATAATTTGGAAAAAAAAACTAAGATTGCATACAAACTTGAAGTCTTCCTTTCAAAACCAATTTTAACAAACACAAACTCAACTAAAATGAAACAAAACAAAACGACACCTTACAACTTTAAATAAAAGGACAACAATATTTTAAACTTGTATTTAGAGAAGAAATATACAATTGGGGTGGAAACTTGTGGAGAGAAGAAGATAAGCCCGAGATGAAGTCAAAGAGAGTAGAAGAGAAAGTGGATATAGCTTGCAAGCTATTCAAGAAGAAACCCTTAGGTTTTTAGGTCCAAAAATCATCCATAATATGCTCCCAAATGCCAGAAAACATCCCTTATTTATAGGAGAAGAAAGGATCCCAACAACTAACAGCCGCCCACTCAAACCAATCAGAAAAGGGGAGGAAAACAGGCAGCCGGATGGAGCAGCACACGAAGGGGCCGCGGGACACAACCAACGAACAAACAGTGCCAAGGGGAAGGAACCGGGCAGGCATAGGAAACGAAGGGTCAAAAACAGGGAAAATGAACCCGGACAATAGGAATAATGAGCTGAAAAAGGCAACAGAAGCTCAACAGCCAGCATAAGGAAACCGAGACCGTCTTGCCTACATCAATTCTCCTCCGGTTGAGAAATCTCATCCCCTGATGAGATCACTTCAGAATTTTGGAGAACCGACATTTTCGATTCTTGAATCAAAATAGCGTACTTCTTTTCAATCACCTCCTTTTCTCGATTAAACTCGGCTTCTTTTCAATCATCTCCTTTTCTCGATTAAACTCGGCTAGAAGTGAATGCTTCTTAGACTCGTATCTCTCAGCACATAATTGCAGTTGTTCTTGAATCTTGAGAAGCTCGATTTGTATCAGAGATGATGAATATGCACGAGGAAGAACCCATTTTGATGTAGGCAAGACTGTCCTGGTTTCCTTATGCTGGCTGTTGAGCTTATGCTGCCTTTTTCAGCTCATTATTCCTACTGTCCATGTTCATTTTCCCTATTTTGTCCCTTCGTTTCCTCTGCCTGCCCGGTTCCTTCCCCCTGGCGCTATCCGTTCGTTGGCTGTCCCGCGGCCCCTTTGTGTGCTGCTCCATCCGGCTGCCTGTTGGCCTTTTGCCTCCCCTTTTCTCATTGGTTTGAGTGGGCGGCTGTTGGCTGTTGGGATCCTATAAATAAGGGCTGTTTTGTGGCATTTAAAAGAGGAGATAATGGATGATTTTTGGAACTAAAATCTGAGAGTTTTTCTTTGATAGCTTGCAAGCTATGTCTCCCTTTATCTTCTCCTCTCATTGATTTTGTCTCGGGCTTCGTATCTATTTCTTCTCTCCGCAAGTGTCCACCCCATTTGTATCATTCTTCTCTAAATACAAGTTTAAAATGTTATTGTGTTCTTTTATTTAAAGTTGTATGGTTTCGTTTTGTTTCATTTTAGTTGGGTTTGTGTTTGTTAAAATTGATTTTGAAAGGAAGACTTCAAGTTTGTATGCAATCTTAGTTTTTTTTTTCAAATTATTGATTGCATCAAAAACTTAGGCTCTGATACCAAATTGAGAAGAAAAAAAAGGGAAGAAAAGATAAAAACCACGAACCCAGACTCTTCCAAGGTTGGTGGGTGATCCGTTGCCCTTCACCAATGAACTTTCTCCAAGTTCTCTCCAAGAACCCTCAGACTCTCACAAGAGTAAAACGCAAAAATTTTATTCATCATCATCAGTAACCCAAAATGCAAGAGAACTAGCTTATAAATAGGTCTCATGAAAGAAAAGAAATAATGACTAAAATGCCCTTCAGGCTACAACATCATATGACCACCCATAAGGGTAAAATAGGAAAATTAGAAATTTAAAATAAAATAGTACATAAAACAAATAAAAAAATCCAAATCGTAGCCGCTAATCTCTGATGTCCTCATCATTATCTCTTGTTTTCAGGAGGGGTAATTAACCATCAGGGTTTGCTCCTATAGGAAACTCAGGCTACAACATCACATGACCACCCATAGGGGTAAAATAGGAAAAATAGAAATATAAAATAAAATAGTACATAAAACAAATAAAAAAAATCCAAATCGTAGCCGCTAATCTCTGATGTCCTCATCATTTTCTCTTGTTTTCAGGAGGGGTAATTAACCATCATGGTTTGCTCCTATAGGAAACCAAAACTCATATCATAAATTCTTTGCAAAAAGAGGGCAAAATCTCTAGATAGTGTCTTATCTAAAATCTAAGACATTGCCTATCTTGGTAGGCATACCAATAGAATGTTATGATTGACAACTTCAACTCATGCAATGGAAGAGCAATGTCTCTGCCTGAGTTATGTAGGCTTTATGTTGCATGTCATGGACTACTGCTCCAGGAGTTTTCAGAACAAATCAGTGCGTCCTAGATGGTCCAAATATATTCCAAATTATTTTGTGATTTACCTTTACCTTCTAAAATTAGAACTAATTTTAACCACCTCATATTCGTATAGCGAAACGTGTATATATTTCATTCTGAGTAACATAATTCATCCATACCATAACTCCAATTAGGCATAACTTACTATATGAAAATTGAACAATTAATCCTTGATTAAGATACTTGAGAGGCCTTCAGTTTTTAATTCTAGATTCTTTCAGAGCTTAATTGAGAGACTCATATCATCACCTATGTTTTGAATCATATATGGATGTTGCTATTCCATTATGCCATTATTCCTGGGTTAAATGAAATTAGTTTACATGTGGGACTGCATGCTTAGGTGGTTTACGTGTTATGAATCTTATGATTGCTTTCCTTGTTAGAAACATGATATGAGCACATCATATGTATAATTGCTTTAACGTAATGCTTAAATCCTCTAACTTGTTTCTGATACCTGTTCTATCCTCATATTTTAACTAACACGAGTTACTATTTGTGCAGTTTGCGATTTCTTCTGCTATCATTACGGCATCTACGATGAACAATCTTTTTATGTATAGTGATAAGTCGCTGGTCTTCGTCTACTTCTTTTTATTCAGTTTAAGTGCAATCATGCTTTCCTTCCTTATCTCAACATTTTTTTCGCGATCAAAGACAGCTGTGGCAGTTGGGACTTTATCTTTTCTTAGTGCCTTCTTTCCTTATTATTCGGTCAATGATCCTTCTATTGCAATGTTAGTAACTTTGCCTGAAGATGAATCCCTCCCTTCGTTCGGTGACTGCACTATGAAATGCTAACATGCTGTTATTTTAATCTGATTTTATGCTACTAGGGTATGGAAAATATTAGCTTCTTTGTTATCACCAGCAGCATTTGCACTGGGTACCGTTAATTTTGCTGACTATGAGCATGCACATGTGGGTGTTCGATGGACCAATATGTGGCAGGTATTCAGAAATTTTTTTTTTGGGGCTTTACTTTTATGATCACACATTCTAATACTTTACTATGTTAACTTGAAATTTATAGGCGTCATCTGGAGTTAATTTCTTGGTCTGCCTCTTAATGATGATGCTTGATGCAATTATATACTGTTCCTTTGGGTTGTTGTTTGACAAGGTAATGATTTGAAAATCACTAAATTTATGTCTGGTTATGCGAGCACAATCATGATTTGATTTGCTTTCGGACAATTTGTTTGATATTGTAGATCTATTATAACAAACTTCTTTAATTCTATTTAGAATGAATAAACAATCGTTTTACAAGTTTGTGAGGTGATTATAGGAGTTTTTAACCGCACAACTTTAATGGCAATTTTGGTTGCATATTTTTTTTGTATTAAGAATTTATTTGAAAAGGAATAAATTCCCTTAGTTTTGATGGTTGAATTTAAATTTGAGAAATTATTTCTTTTATAATTAATTGCTATGAGTGGCAAAGTGGGATTCCTTAGTTTTATTTATGCATCAGAAGCAAAGGTCATAGGAGCTTAGTTAAAGATCATTAAGATAAGATGAAAATTCTTCTTTTCAAAATTAAAAAAAAGGGTATTTTAGGAAAGTGGCAGAACGTAGTAAACACAATAATTAGTTATATTATTGGTTGGTCAAAAAAATAAATTGGAGCTAGCTTACAAGAAGATACATAATGGTAAAATTTTTGGTTTAATGAAGATGACTATTAAGATTTGGAGAGTTTTGAGGTATGTTGGATTTGGAGAGTTTTGAGGTATGTTGTATTTATGCTGAACAGATTATTTTGATGGAATTTTGTAGACTAAGAGTTGTTGATGTAGAACGGAGGGGGTGGGGAAAGATAAAATGATTAAAAATCTAAAATTAAATTTAAGATTTCCTATAATCAAGAAATTTAAATTTTGAAATTCAAATAAGATGGAGGGAAGGATAAATAGGTGGTTAATTATTCTCATAATTGAATTCCTCAACAAGGAAAACAATAATTAAAATAGGGGAGAGAGACGAGCCGGCCTAATGAGGAGGGAAAGAAAAGGTGTCCACATACAATGTATGTGGACCCATGCATTAATGGGAGATTAGAGAGTTAAATCTAAAATAATTTCAGATTTAATATGATTGAAGGATTTCCTAAAGTAGATGTAGGTTATTTAGGAAAGAATTTAAAATTCAAATTCATTTGAATTTGAATTTGGAAACTTTCCAAATAAGATAGGAGCTAATTTAGGAAAGTAATGATGGTGAGATGAAATTGGAATCAAGGGAATTTGGAGGGTGGGTCGGCAGTGGGGTGTAGGGGAAACATAGCCAGTGGTGGGGGGTTTTGAGGAGGGTGTAGCCGGCGGGTTGGGTGGGGGAAAACGCTTGGCCGGTGGGTTGTGGTGGAGTGGCCGACGGTTGGAGGTGGGGTAAAGAAAGGGTGGTGGTGTTTGGCTTAGAGAGTGGGAGGAGGAGAGAAGAGGGAAGCTTGGTCGGCGGCTGTGGAGGGGGTAAGATAGGTGGTCAAGGGAGAAGGAGAAAAGGAGTTAAGGGAAAGAAAGATAAAAACCGTGAGCCCAGACACTTCCTGCGGCTGACGGGTGATGTATTGCCCTTCACCAAGGGACTTCAAGCCACGAGCCCGTACCTATCTTGCGGCTGGTGGAAACTAAGATTCCCTCCCATAGGGATCTCACTTAAGTCCTCCCAAGGAACAAAAGTGTAGAACAAAATTTTTATTAAAACTCCATCTTGTCATTACACTAGCAAGGGCCTCTATATATATAGGCCTCAGAAATAAAAGAAACTAAAATAAGGCGATCATGCCCCTAGGACTTAGATAAGATTAGACCCTTAAGTAAGGGTAAAAATGAAAAATACATAATTAAAATAAAAATTAAAAATAAAAATTTAAGATAATGTAGGACAATCACGGCCGTCGTCGATCTTTAGCTTCTCCTCGTATAGGCATGGACGGTTGGATGTCCGCATCAGTTGTTTTTTGAATAGCTCTTCTCAATGAAGTTTTGTAGATTAAGAGGATACCAGATAAATTAGAGAAGATGTATTTTGACACTACTATTTAACAACAAATGAGAGGTTTATGGTTGTGCTAACTGTCATAACGAAGAAGTAGATGCGAAGTAGGGAGGAAGAAAAATACTCCATAGTATTATTTGGCTGAAATATGGACCGATTTATAGAGGTTTATAATGGGTAAAAATAGTGAAGAAATAATGCATATTCTACGAAGCAAGAAAGTACATTAATTTGATACAATCCATATGAATAGCCTAGCAATTGCAGCCTTCTAAATCTGTCAAACTGTGGCCTACATGTCATGAATTCATGGTGCAGTCAATTGGCAAGTCATATGTAATATTCAAAAACATCAAGAAGGGGAGATCTTTTTTTTTACATAAAGTACATTTTCCAATTTTTGCATTCACAAAATTAAGTATTTTATATAAGGGCACGCTTTATAATGAGTTATATTATTGGTTGATTCAAAAAATAAATTAGTGCTAGCTTTGAAGAAGATATATAAAGCAAAAGTTTTTGGTCCTGCTAAGATATCTATTGAGATTTGGAGAGTTTGAGATATTTTATAGTTGTTTTCTTAGCAAATATTTTTGATGGACTTTTGAATACTTAGAGTTGTTGATTTAGGACTGAAATGATTAGGCGATTTTAAATAAGAATCTTGCGCGCTTTAATTTAAAGAGCAATATTAACTAGTAATCTTGTAGTGATTTAAGTGATGAAATAAAACAAACAAGGGGTGAAGCTAGCTTAGGTCAAGTCACACAACTAAAGGTTTGTGGGCTCCGAAAATTCGGCCCCGGCCTCCCCGCCGTGCTTTTCTTTTTATTCGGCGAGGGAGTTTTAACTGATTAAGTTCCGAGGTAAATTTTGGAAGGCAGATGAGTTTGTAGATAAGACACTACCCAGAGATTTCGCCCTCATTTTGTGAGGACTTTATAATCTGAGTTATGGTTTCCTATAGGCGCAAGCCCCTATAGTTAATTACCCCACCTGATAACGAGAGAGAACTTTCGATTAAGGCTAATCGCAATCAGATACGTAGAATATACGTGTTATCTGGCATATAGGAGCAACATGGGTATGGAAATTTTGGAAATTGGGTTTGGATTTGGTTATTGGGAAGAGTTTGATATTTAAAATTAGAAATTGCATCATCTAACACTTAAAGCGGATGGTGGGGGAATGGATGATAGACCCGATCAAGATCCCATGATTCCATCGTCCCGGGCCATCGTGGTCCCTGGTCTACTTAGTCAGAGGAGGTAGTCGACCCAACCTGACAGAAGGATCCTTGTCGACAGCCATGGGTTGCTTCGTCCAAGGGGACCTTGTAGACCTGGAATGAATGTTTGTCTAAGGGGACAAATTTGAATCCACCTTAGCTTACAGAGGGCTTTGTACCCTATCGATCATATCCTATTGATTCATATCTCAAGGATTTAACGCCCCTAAGGAATGTATTGGCTCTGGCCATAACCACTATCTGTGGTGCCATTTGGCGGGAGGAGGCTTCGCAAACAGCCGCGTAAAACCACTCGGTTCAGAGGGCCCCGGATCATAACCGTTTACCTGCAGTGCCATTTGGCCGCGAAACTGCCGGTTAGAGGACACGTACCACGTCCTTATTGGCAAGAGATTGTTTGAGAATGGATCCTAGTGATATTTTCGACTAGGCATTAGCTCTTTGTGAGCTGAAGTAAATTTTAATTTGTCCACCTCAGCAAACTGTTGCGGAGGGTGGATGGATTTTGCTTTAAGCGGGTGATGGGTTGAATTTCAAATTTAAATATTTTTCGGATTTTGGGATTTGTGGATTTTTGGATTTTGTGGAGTTTTGGGTTTTTGGATTTTTATGGGTATTTTGGGTGGAGCTATGGAATATTTAAAATGAACTTTGGATATTTGGAGGCATTTGAAAATATTTGGGAACCCCTCCGGTTGAGATCTGCATTCAACACGGCCATCATCGGGGTGTTTGGGGTTATTTCCATTTGATTGAACTTTGTCGACTCTATCAAATTATCGATAGAGGATCGGGTTTCGTAGGCTTTATGCCCTTGTTAGTGAATTCTTTTGATTGTAGGCCTTGAAGGCCTAATATGAATGCATTGAAACAAATACACCGGTCTCCATAACTGTGTATTTGTTTGAAGGTTCGAACCCTGTCGACTCCTATTGATCCGTATAGAAGGATCGGGATCGAACAAGAATTCACTTATTGAACCGCGCAACATCCCTAGACGTCACATGTGCACCAATAACACGTTCGCCGGGGCCCATGCGGGTGTTTGGGGGCATTTTATAATTGAACCCTGTCAGCTCCTTTTATCTACTTAGAAGTATTGGGTTCAAATTTTATAACCCGCACAGCATCCCTAGACGTCACATGTGTACCAATAACACGCTCGCCGGGGCCCTTGCGAGTTTTATAATTGCTTTTACCCCTTTTAGTGCACCTAAGTGTATACAAACTACGGTGCACAGGTGGGGGTACTTTGAAAGTACTTGTAGACGCCTTCTGTCTGCTTGCATGAATGTTGCGGTTCTGGTGGCGTGACGTAGCAGCTTCTGAATAGAGTTGTTCGCTGCTTCGTACAGGTAGATTGTCGTGCACTACTGTTGTTTTCTGTAGGTGGGTCGTAGTGCACTAACTAATCTCCTGCCTTACATTTGCAGTGTAGTCGTTTAGTATTTTGCTTAGGGACAATAGATGGGGCATACGACGGGTCTCCCACAATGACTCGTAGGATATTGCATTTGATACAATCATTTTTGTATTTTGTTTGTAAACAATATATTGGTGTTGAATAGATCTTCTATAATAGTTCATAGGAGTATGCATCTGTCACCAACCCCTCCATGCACACTGATTGGTGTTGACTACATGAGGATATTATACCCACTGCATATATGTTGCTATAATCTATAAAAGTTCTTTTCATTGTATATTGCATCATATGTATCTTCCCTTGATTTACATGGCTTTCATCACCACCTTGTGAACAATTTGTCGAATATACGAGTGTATGGCTATATTTGTATAGAACCTATCACTTCTACATCATTTCAATCGATGTTACTTATGAGTAGATTGCCAGTTCTATTTGTATTGACTTC